GGCTCTGTGCTGATAGCTCAGAGCCTGGAGCCTGTTTCCGATTCTGTGTCTCCCTCTCTCTCTGTCCCTCCCCCGTTCATGCTCTGTCTCTTCCTGTCTCAGAAGTAAATAAATGTTTAAAAAAAATTTTTTTAAATAAAACAAAGCCGGGAACACTTTTAGGAGCATTAGTACAAGTAGCATGTACAAAGGAGTAATAAGTAAGCCTCGTTCCACAAGAGATTGGAATGGATGTATTCTGAGTTGGCATACCATACCCGGAGCATATTTTATTCTGGAAACACATTTTGCTCTGACAGATAAGTGTGCGACTAGGGGAGCGTGCTCAGGATAGTGAGGGGTCTGTAAATATACGCACCGAAAGGAGGGCAACAAAGCTATTAGTTTAGTGGCTAGGCCAAGGGAAACGCACATCAAAGGATCCAAATATTGAACGCAGCTTTTGGCAACACACGCGCGCACTTGAAAGTCTGTGGCCCCTGGCTCTTTCTCAGACGTCCCCTGTCTCAGGCCTGCTCGGTCCGGTGAAAGTCTGGCAAATTGGCGTGAAGCGCTCAGCCCGGACAGGCAGCGGACACAGGTCCGCTTTCCGCCTGGGACGCGACCCCGGCCCGTCCAGGACAGGGGGCGGGGCGGGGGCGGGGCAGGGGCGGGGCCGCGCTCCACAAGTGGGTGGGGTCCCGGCGGCCTGCCGCTCCAATACCACCCCAGACCTCCGCGCACCCCGGGCGCTTTGTGCGGGGCCGGAGGTGGAGGCGCAGGCCGCCATGGCGCTGCGCGCGGCCCTGTTCGACCTGTACGGGGTCCTGGCGCTGCCCTCGCTGGCCGGGGCCTTCGTCCGCGCGGAGGAGGAGTTGGCGCTGCCCAGGTAAGGGAGCCGGCGCCGGGCCAGAAAAGGGCTATGGGCGAAGGGTAGGGGGAGAGGGGGGGAGGCGGCGCGGTAGGGGGCGGAACCCCGCCGAGAAGCTGCCTCTGGGGACCTCAGGCCGTGCTTTCACATTGCTTAGGGCGAGAGCCCTGCCAGAGGTTAAAACAATTACCCGGCCCGAAAATACCCGAGCATGTCAGTAGACCCATTGTCTTCCTGAATACTGAGTAATTAAATCTCTCTAAAGACTCCACAATTGCCCTGTGTATTGAAGGCTTTTCCCAAAGGGAGGGGAACTGCTCGCCGCGCCATCTGCTGTCCCCTAAGTCTGTGTAATGGAATGGGTCTTAAAAGACGCGCTGAAGTTGGCAAGAGAAAAAAGTTCTGTGCGTTGCCGTTCACGTACTAGAAGAGCAAACTAGAGAAACAGCCCCAAAGCCGAATCGCTGGGAAATGATGGACTAGGAAGCGTCACCTGTGAAGAGAAATGTTCAGAATGAGATTTCAATAACACCAGAGAAGAAAGACCTGTTGTGATAATTGGGAAAAAACAAACAAACAAAAACCACCCACCAGAATGTAAAACAATTAATACGACATGGTTTCAATTATGGGGGAAGAAGAGCTATGTGCTGAAAAACGTCTAGAAGAAGTATTCCAGAATATCCTTGGGATTGTTAATCCCAGGTGAGATTATGAATTATTTCCTTCAGTTTTCTACTTTTTGCATTTTCTAAGTGCAAATATCTGCTTATGAACATGTGTTTCTCCTATAGTGAGAAGGAAGGAAAGCCTGTTTGTTTAAAACATTAAGAAAGAAAGGAAGAAAGAGAGATCACTCTGGCAACACCCACAAAAACGAAATTCTGAACTAGTGCAAGAATAAGTAGAGGGTGGAAGCTTTGAGAATTGTGCCCTGTTTTGTTTCATGGCAAATTAATGCTCAGAGATTGAGTTTGTTTTTGTCTGCAGTTTATTTAACACTGGTTCGCTGTGGGTATTTCACAAGCCAATAGCATGCAGGATAATGTCCCTTCATAAACCAATAAACAACATACTTGCAAACAATGATTGATTAATCCCATTCTTGTTCCAGTTAAGGAGATCTGAACTGGATCCAAATGAGGTCCAAATTTAGTTGTTTGAGTTTGCACTTGTGGGAGATGGTGTAGCCAATTGAGAGCTGCCCTCCAGCTTGCTGGTGCAAAAGTCAGAGTCCCCTGTTGCCAGAGCATGTTGCTAGGGAACGATGGCACCAGCATTGGTGGGCAGGAGGACTTTCTTCCCCAGCTGGCGGCTATTCCTGAAAGAGTGGCCTTCATCAGGGCAAAAGCTAATTGCCCCAAGGGCTTGGGAGAGCTATTTAGAGGAGCAGAGCCCCTCAGCACTGACCAAATACTCTGGAGAGTCCTCACAGACTCTCCGAATGGCTTCTTCAGTTTTTTTTTACTGATTGACATCCAGTGAGGCCGTCAGCAGTTGAGCTACTGAGTGCTTATCAAGGGCATAGGACCAGAAGACCAGTTACTGACTTTCTGTTACAGCTTCCCTCCTTTCAAAACCGCTTCAAATCTAACAACTTCATTTTGGGGGCCTGGGGGGGGGGGGTCTTTGTTGTGGATTTGAAATCATATCAAACCAATACAAAACATGCCCCATTCTAGAATTCTTGTGATACTAAAGACCAGCAGGACTTTCTGTCCTGTTGTATCAATGATAAAAGACTGGTTAGTGCAAGCATGCCAAGCCAAAAGGGGTCTCAGAATCTAGAGCAGCCCTTACTCCTATAGTATGGAAACTGAAGCTTAGCAGAGGATTCACTTGATCTCTGTAGCAATTAGACACAGGCAGCCATGGAACCAGTTTTTCTGCCTCCCTGTTTAGGATTCTTTCCTCTCTGGTTCATCATGACTTCCCACTCCCTTGGCTATTGTACAGGGAAAGATACCAGTCTGTAGGCAGTGAGTAAGTACACTGATAAGTATGTCAACAATAGATTGATATCAATATGTCACATCAATAATAAGTGTGTCAATAATTATTTGTTGTCAGTAAACACAAATAACACAATAAACTCTGTGCCTACAGAGTCCACAATCAGAATAATCACATCCCAGGTCATTAGGATTTGAGAGGCATTGAAAATGGAAGGCCACCTTTGATCCAGGCTTGTTCAATTCAGATCATTTACAGGAGCAAGAAGCTGAGGGAGGATTAGTGAGTTTTATTTTTTATTTTTATTTTTTTATTTTTTTTTAAATACTCATTTATTTTTGAGGGAGAGCGTGAGTGGCGGGGGGGGGGGGGGGGGG